GGGGGCTTGGAGTCTTGGCCATCTCATAACCAACTCCAGCTAAATAAATGACCCCAAACCAATGCTAGACAGTGATTTGAGGATGAATGGAAGCAACAAAATAAACCTTTTTTTTTTGCTGTCCACAATGCCATGCAATAGATATGTTGTATGCTCACTGCATGATGACTTCTCTGCAAGATACACTCTAGCCATAATCCAGCCTGTTTTTGACTCAATTCCCCTGAATACTGAGTGCAAGGTATGAGCAATCATGTTTTTCTCCAGGTTGTTTCCCATGCCTAAACGGATCCCACTTTCTACATCAGAAAACTAAATGCTGAGCAATCAGTTCATAAGATCTACCCTGATGGCATTTCATTTCATATACTTTTTGTCTTCTACCAATATGTCCTGTCTTATCAGGATCATTTCACTTCAGTAGCCTTTCTGTCTCCTTTGTTGAAGTGTGCTCTTATCTGCCAAATCTCTGTTCTCTTTTAAATACTGTTTAAACAGGCTACGTTCCATAGAAGCACAATTGCTTTTTAAATGTTTGATGATGATGTTACTTATGTTGTAGTATAACTTTGTGTGTGTATTGCAATGCATCCAAGTTAATGCTGTTGGCCTGCTTTTGAAAAAGCCATAGTTAGACAGCCATGACCCTGTCAATGCACATAATTGAAGCCAAGAATAGAAGCAAGTACTTTGCCTATTTTGTTCTGGGGGTATGTATGTCTATGTGTTTTTTCAGTGTGTTACCCTAATAAAGTGATAAACAGGAAGCAGGGCAGCACTAACAAATCTGTAGAGTACACTGAGAAGTTTCAGATCACAAAACTATGACTTGCCTTAAAGTTAGCAGGAAGGATAAAAGTCATGAAAGCTTTCTTGAATATTTAAAAAAAAAAGGCAGCAGAGGTAAGTCAGTAAAAAGATAGTTCCAGAGTTTCCACCTACATTTTGTGCCCAGTAAGATAATTAATCTTGATGGTGGGCTTTTTGTAATGATCCTTGAAACAGATTTTAAGATTAAAAGAATGAAGGCAGTCCTTCAGATTACATGTTTCACAGTCATCTAGGATTTAAAGCCAGAAGTTTGAATTGTTAACTAGTGCAGTTGGTGTAAAATTATGTGTCTGTATTTGTTTGTATTTATAATCACCCAAGCAATCATGTTCTGTACAGGTACCTCCCACTGGGTTTCTTGTTAAGATATATCTCTGAGCTTTTCACAATGTGGCAAGATGGAAATCCCATCTGTTTCAGTGATAGGTCCTAACAATGTATAACCATACAAAAGGTGAAACGGCAACATTATTTTTTGCAAGAAAATTAAACACAGCAGTTTTCTGCTTTGCAATCTAGCAACTCTCTGACTAAAAGAGTAAAGCAATTTAATATGTTTAAAAGGAGTTGAGATGGCTGTGTGTAAGGTGGTGGGGAAGAATTATCTCAAAACATGGCCCCTAACATCCAGGTTAAGAATCAAGAGCAACATTTCAGCTGCAATAGAAAAAGTCTCAGAGGTAGTTCTTTGTTCTGAATAAACACTAAGTTACACTAAGCCTGGGATCTTCTCGTGTGATGCCCAGTGTACCCATACATACCTCCTTTGGTATCCCTTAGGCTCCTGCCCACCTCATTTTTTTAAAAAATCATTTTAATTAAAAAAAATCAGACAGATGGCATGCTGTGAAACAGAATGCCAGCATCCAGTATTATATTGATTTTCAAGAGTTTCTTTGTTCCTGAATAGGGCCTATAGAAATGAGAGAGAGAGAGAGAAAAAGTACTCTGGCATGCAATACTGCTGAACCTGATATTAGAACTGATTCAAAATCAGTAGGTATTCCCTAATTATGTAAGTTAAAGCTTGAATCCTGCTTTCTCAACCATCTCTTCACAATTTCCTGGTTGGGATATAAATCATCTTCTCAGGGAAGATTGAGCCAAAACAGAAATTGGGTAGCCATATCTTTTATTTTATCCCATTATTTTAAATATTCCTCCCCATTTTAAGCATTCCTGTTATTCTAAGCACTCCTTGCTTTATGTGACTTCAATGTGTTTGGAAGTCTTGCTGCACACAAATAAATTATGCATCTTTTCAATCAACATAAAAATATGGTATTTTCAAGACTGCCAAGAAAAGGTTTCACAAAGTACAATCAACAGTTCTAGTGTGCTAATTTTAAAAGATGTAATTTTGAAATGCACTTGAAATTGAAGAGTTGCTGTGAGATTTAACATTAAAATTGCATAAATTAACTGAACAGCCCATTAGTAGAATGCCATCAGAATCAGATGATCAGTTCAGAAAGTTATATGACTTTCCTGTTGCTGTTAAAAACTACTATTCCAAAATACTGTTGGACATCAATTGTTCTACTTCTATGTTACATGGATCTTGCTCTGCAGAATTTCTTTATAAGCACCGAGACATCTCTGACAAAAAATAATCTGGATGTGACAATGATCCCTATGTTGGCTGATGGCCCATCTCTGAAATTAAAATTTAAGTGCAACTGACAGAAAAATAATTTGCAGATCAAGCTTCATATGTAATAATCTGGCGAACCCCAATCGAAGTTTGTGCATGATGCTTCTAGAACAGAAAAGAACAGAACAGAATAGAATCTTTATTGATTTAGTCATTTGACCATATCAAAAGTATAAAACCAATACAAGTAAACAAGTAAATACAAAGAAAACAGTAAGGTGTATTCATAGTAAGTTGTCACTCTACAGTTAACTCCAATCTGATCTGGTCTTCTTCAAAGTGGCCTTTGATATAATGCGTGCAGTCTTACTAGTGTTATATAGGTTTGTTCCCTGTAAAAAGTAAGAGAGTTTCTCTTGAGCGCCCCAGTGTTTTTTAGTTTTTAAATAAGAAATCTAAGCAAACAGTCCTTTCTGCAGAATAAGGTTTGCAATCAAAGAGGATATGTGCAATATCTTCAACAGCTGTTGCACCACAGATACACAGCCTTTCTTCAAATGGAACTCCATGAAACCTCCCGTATTTTACCATGGAATTCAAAACGAGTTCTAGAAAAAGTTGTTCTAAGATGTCGAGGCATATATGTTGTTAAATACTTTTCTAACTGGGAGGCTGATTTGTGTTGAGCCAGCTACTTCAAGGCCTTAACATGTTTAAGGGATGCAATATCATCTTGGGCAGCCACATCTATGACCTTTTGTTTGAAACTTTTCTTGGCCTTCAGATCTGATTGGATTGGGTATTGGATGGAGAATCCATATTGTGAGTTGGCATTTGAAAGTTGGGCAGCCCAAGTGTGGGAAGGCATATTATGCAACTGTTCTTCAAAACAAAGCTTGGGTAATCTATCTGGGTCCATAGATAAGAACTTCAGCCAATAGTTGAATACTTTAATTATTAGATGGTTTTGTATAGGGGGTATACCCAACTCTGCCCTTACTGCTGGAGTTGGTGTAGGCTTGTCTACCCCAAGATACATTTCAAGAAAGTGGACTGTATCTGTTCCAATAAGGGGGCATATACTGTATATATCCCCACAGTTCTCCATCATATGTAATCATTGGGACTATTTTGCTGTGGTATACCTTTATGACTGGAATTAGGGAACCTGCATAGCTGTGGTTGGTGAGCTGCCTTACAGCACAGGCTGTAGTCCTTAAAGAAGTCCTCTTAAAATTTGGGAGCCAGGAACCTATTTCTGTAAAAACAAGTTCCCAATCTAGGCTCCAGTTATACCTAGTCCACCTCTTCTCGAAAACAACTACCTTGGTTTTGGACTTATTGATGTTCAGGTAGTTGAATGTACAGTATGAACTAATCCTGTGCAGCAGTCTTCTCATCCCTACCTGGGTGTATGTCATCAATACCATGTCATCTGCGTAAAGCAGAATATTTACATGTTTATTTTTAGCTTTAGGTATATGGATATTGGTTGAATGAAGGGACTTTGAAATATCATTAATGTACAGATTAAACAAAATGGGAGCCAACATACATATTTGTCTGACCCCTTTATTGGTACTAATTGTCCCTGTTAGGAAACTATGTGCTCCTGTGCGTACCCTTAGGCATGAGTTGAATATAATGCCTTGATTAAAGAGAGGAGTCTGGGACCCATGCTCAGATCCATAAGTTTCTTCCAAAGAAGGTCTCTATTTAATCAAATGCTGCACTGAGATCTGTAAAAGTTTTATACAGTTGGCTCCCTTTAGCTGTGTATTTCTCTATTAGATGACATACAATAAAACAGTTACCAATAGTGGAGTGACCAGACCTAAATCCAGTTTGCTCTTCGGGTAGCAAGCCCTTTTCAATTACCCAGTCCTCAATCTTATTTGGCATACAATTTTGCTACAATGTCAATTAGACTAATCAGTCTATAATTTGAGGGACCACCCTTATCACCCTTTTTTGTAAATGGGGACCACTATAGAGAGCTCCCAACCAGCTGGAATTTGTCAGGAATTATTTATATGAATAAATAAACCTGCACGTAAGGGAGCCCACCAGTTATTGTAACATTTGAATAATTTAGGGGGTAGAAGATCTTCCCCAGGAGCCTTATTGGACTTTAGAGTCTGAATGAGACCTCTAGTCTCCCATTCAGTCACCGGAGGCCAGGGTGGGGAGGGACTACAGGCCTTCTGTAGGTCATTTTGTGAGTCCTCTAGTCCACTGCAACTTGAGGCCGTGAATAATTGGCTGTAATATTCCTCCCACATGGAGGAAGGTATAGGGATGTGCAGAGAGAACCTTTGTTCCCACAATATTCTTGCAACCGAATGCCAAAAATAGACTGGGTTTGGGTTTTGGGCTGCTAACTCTAAATTTAACCAGAGAGAAGACAAATGGTGAGACTTCTTGCACTTGATAGTTTTCTTGTACTCTTGTCGAAGCACTAACATGGCAGCATGCTTATTACTTGATGGATAGTTCGATGCTAAACGCATAGCTAGCCCTAATCTTTTTCTCAGGGAATGACACTCTGAGTCAAACCAATGAGGGCCTTTTATCTGAGACTAAAATTCAGCAGCACATATACTAAAATTAGAACAATACAGAGAAGATTAGCATGGCCCCTGTGCAAGGATGACACACAAATGATGCTTCTAGAAGTAAGCCTTCAACTGAATGTACTTGAGATGGAACATTAACCTGACTAAATGAATACTTTATTTTCATGGGTTGAGTTCACACATTGTGTTTACTTATAGTTGGCTATAGATTAACATTAACCATAATCTATGGTTTAAAAACCATGATAATTAGGTTTGTACATATTATGCCTTAGTGTGTGTGATGCATGAACCTGTGTGCTTAACTTAAGAGGAAAATAAAGCTTGTTTTGTAAACTGGGGTTCTTATATCTGATATAGAGGATGCTTCCCTTCCACTCTACTTGTTACATATTCATAAAAGATAGGATTAATTAAACAACAGAAGTTGTTTAACATGATGCATATGAGGTCACTATACCCTGCTCCTGCTTTCTGTTTTCTATGAAGAAGATACTCCTATCACACTAGCAATAGAGGAGAAATTGTGATGGAATGGAATTATGAAGGCCAGGCTCAGGGAGATAAGCATTTTCTTAGC